TCATAACCAAATGTCAGTTATTTAATAATAAATAACAATAATATAAATAATTTAATTTTAATAATAAGATACAATTTTCTGATGTACAAATTGATGGAACTACATTTGTCCATGGCCAGAAAAATTGCCATAAAAATAAACAAATATGAAATATTAAAATACAATGTTTGTATGCTCAGGTTCTCCCTCAGTTGGGAAGATTGCCAACTGATACAGTTTTCATTAATATCTGTAAAAGACAGGCAAAGACCAATTCCACTGCATTGGCGACAAACCTTTTGCCAATGAGAGTTTACTTACTGTCAGTGACAGTTTGAGAGGATTGTCGTTGAACTTGATCTGCTGTATGCGCTTTGCTATCCCTGTCTACATGGAATCATTTCCGTCTACACTGTTGTTCCAACCGAGGGACTATCTAGGGCATCCATTCATGGTTTGGAGTAGACAAATTTCTGTGTATGACTTATTATACATCAACAAAAATAAGTTATATACAGTAGAAACCCTCATTTACGAACCCCATTTTACAAATTCCCGATTTTACGAACGTAAAAGGTGATGTCATAAAAATTGAAGCGAAAGATTAAAAAAAAAAAAACCCGCTCGAATTGCACCTGTTATTACCATGCATACACGGGCCTCTTCAAAGTCACTGTTTTTTATGGCTTCACACATGCACATGTGCATGCGACAAATTTTACTTCTCTTTCAAACATCGTTTTCAGCTTTAAAATTCAACATAGTGCTTGATTGTTTTATTGAATGATCAATATATATAATAAACAAGTATCTATGGAAGTTGTGTTGGAATAAAATCCACAATCTAGGTATTTAAGAAGGTAAAAATGTCCGATAAAAACAAATTTGCGCAGGGCCTAGAGTGGGATCAGAATGCTTAGAAGCTGCCTACTGTAGGCCTAGGCCTCCTCAGACTTAGCTGTGTAAGCCTGTAGGCATAGCCTAGGCCTAGTTTATGCCAGTGTGAGTAGTACCAGTGCAGATATATAGGAATTTGGGTCAACCCCGATTTTACGAATACCCAAATTTACAAACAGCTCTGGGCCCGTGCCGTACGTAAATGAGGGGTTCTACTGTATTGTATAGTAGTAAAACCGCTGATGGGGATCAAGAGGGAGATGGATTATTGTTTAGAATAGTTTATGTTGTACTGTACTTATACAGTATTTATAAAGTCCAACAATGAACTTCACTTGTGCAAATAGCCCTGTCCCGAACTCAGTTAATGATTCCCTTTCTCGAAGCCACACACGATGCTTTGCTTTGCTTGCTTCAGTTGGTGACTCAATCATCAGTAAGACAGCAGTGTCTATCTGATGGCCAATTGTCTTTTAATCAAAGATGGCTAACATTAATAATAATAATACTACATATTTATAATTATTCTCTTTTTGACTAGAAATGCATGGCTAAATAGTAGGCTTATATGTGGCAAAGACAAGCCAAACCAGTCACTCGTCGCAAATCCTTTCAGAGACATGGCCAAACATGCTGGGATGTCAACATTTTTTTAATCTATTTTATTAAACAATTTTTATATTTGTTTTTAAAAACCAACCTTTATATAGCTATATATCAAGTTATGCTGTTATTTTCCCCATTTTCAATGTTAAAACAACAATTTTTAACGATCTGGCAATGGTTTTTGCCTGCAAAATGCCCAAAATCATACACTTTGAAGGCTGACATACAGCTGTATGTTTAAACTCCTGTAACTTCATAGCAAAATGTTGGATTTAAATGATTTTTTACCATTTCATAGCCCTCATCTTACTGTTTAACCGTGTATTAATAACTAAAAATCAATTTTTTTCTTTTTTGTGACGAGTGACTGATTTGGTTTGTCTTTGACACATATATTAAATCAAAATTGCAATCATATCATCCTTTTTTTTTAAATGCTTTTGTTTTGATTACCAATTAATCATAAATGACATTATGGTAGTGGGAAGAAATCATTGGGAAAGTGTTCCAAGAAAATTTCAAATCATACATTGCATAAGATTAGAGCAAGATTATTACTGGATGCTTTCTAAAAGCAAGAACACAACTCTACAAGTGTAATATAATATTGGCATATAGCCAATATAAGGCCAGGTAAAACAAAAAATAGTTTATTGGCTAAATATTTCCAAAAATGGGAGGCCCTCTCTTCTGGCACATCAGCACTTACAGATTAAGTCGCCAGTGATCACCGGATTGGTCTACGATTAAGTACAGTAATATTCTATTCCAATGGCTAAGGATAAATTTTACGCTGCAATTTTGTGACTATGACAATAAAGTTTATCTTATCTTATAGCTAAAAAAATTAAATTTTAAAAAAACCTTAAATTGAGGCATCAGCAGAAACTATGTTATTACAAAATCCAAAACCAATATAATATACTGTACTGTAATATAAAATAAAATTAAATTAAAAAATTTTTTTTTTTCTTTTTTACTAGAAGATGAGATTTTTTATTGTAATATTGCATTATACTATATTATGTTGTTATATGTATGTTAAAAGCAATAAAAAAAGAAAAAGAAACTATGTTATATTTTCACTTGTCCAAATTTAAAGTGTAGTGTAACATGAATGTGTTAGATTAATAAGGGAAATATTTATAATGAAATCAAAAACAAGAGTACAGTACACAGTTTTTACACTGAACAAGTGTACTAACATTACATGCTGCATATGACATCATTAAATGATTTTATCTGAATGTTTAACATTACCAATAGAAAACACTTTACATTTACAATATCCCACAGGCCAAAGTACCATAATAATATATATGACATCATTTGGATTATATCAGAATATGTAACATTACCGTGGAAAGTACATTAATGTTTTAAGTCAAATTGAGGTGACATGATAAAATGTAATGTACTGTAGTTAGATTTATATAGCACTACCAGAGTCTCAAAGCATCAAAGCGTGGACTTGCTCATTCAATAAATTTCTACCTTAAGATTCTTTTTGTGTCTGAGCTACCTGGTAAGAGTCATATATTAGCACCACCATTGAGGTATACATAAAATAGTATACTCATTGCATTTTAAGGAAAGAGATAGAGATATTCATATCTACCCTTTATTTTTATTTTATATTATTTTGAGAAAATCATAAAATGGTATTGTTAAAATAATTTTATCTTGTTTCTAATGAAATATTTTTGGCTCTTATTCACTAGGCCAAAAACATATCTTTTTTTAAAATACCAATAATCACTACAGTTTTGATCAGCTTTGTTGATCTTTTTTTTAACATACCAATAATCACTACAGTTTTGATTGATCAGCTTTGTTGATCTTTTTTTTAACATACCAATAATCACTACAGTTTTGATCAGCTTTGTTGATCTTTTTTTTAACATACCAATAATCACTACAGTTTTGATCAGCTTTGTTGATCTTTTTTTAACATACCAATAATCACTACAGTTTTGATCAGCTTTGTTGATCTTTTTTTTAACATACCAATAATCACTACAGTTTTGATCAGCTTCGTTGATCCTTTTCAGTTAAATGACTAGCAGAAGCTAGTTCATATCGTCATCAGCTGTCATCCAATGACGTGAAATGGGATGAAATTTTCACCAACATATATTGATAAAATTTCACAAATATATTATGTATGAGATGTATGTAAAGAAAACACATTCATTATATTTTTCACTATTTATTATATTATGTATAGGAGAAACACTAAATGTTCTTTGGCCTTCAAAGAAAAAAAATATAGACACTTAGTATATTGCATTATAAAAATATTACCAATATGTAACTCGTAGATTCTGAAATAATGATGATCGCCTACTACATTTCATGTAATTATAATGACATCATACAAGTAATTTGAGTATAAAAAGGGAAAATCAAACAGATTCATCTTAGGGACTTACAATGGAAGTTTCACTCAAAAACAATAATCAAATAAGAAGCCCACTCACTTGATGACATCATCATTCATCAGTATAATCATTTTAAAAAGCATACTATTTTTCCATACTTATGAAATGCATTACTGTGTTTTGTGATGAATTTGTAATAAATAAACTGAATTTGATGACTTCATCAGTCTAATCAACTAAATGTATTATTTATCTGTATCTGTAAAGAGTACAAATAACTTATTGACATCATTATATTTTACAAATCCAAAAATAGATATCAAAATTTATATATAACCTACCACTCCCTCAATTAGAGTCTGAAAAAAAAATTGTTCTTGTGTTGCATTCACCTTTAACATTGTGGAGATTTTCAAGTCTATTGTGGAAAAATCTGTTAAAGTACTTTACTGACGTATTAAGATACAAAGGTAAACATATAATCTTTTATTTAATTATTAATAATATAGACATATGTTGTTCGTTGTTCTCCTGACTGCTTTATTTTTTTACCTTAGTTTTATTATCCTTAAGAAACACAGATGGGCAAAGTACAGCCCGCAGAGCACATTAAGCCTGACAGCAATTTTGTTGCGGCCCACCAAAACCTATCTGTGGGCCCGTCTACCGTTCTTAGTTCGACAGGCTGTTGCTGAACATCAGTAAATTAAAAATAAATGGTAAAAAAGCAATGATTAAAGAATCATGATAAAATGGTTTCATTAACCCATAACTCACAACAGAAAGGTACAAACCTTGGTCAAAAGTTTTATTACAATGGTATGAGAAAGCTATACCCTAACCCTAAACTATTACACAAATCAACCCCACAAAACCCGGTCAACCAAAATGTAACTATCTCAGGTTATCACTAAATTACACCGAAAGGTCAAAACAAACATATCAACACTCCCAATAGATATCATATTAGGATAAGCAACACATTAAGTTCACACAAATATAAGATTATTATGTAGTTTATACATAATAATCACACCTCCTGCCAAAAAGAGTTTGGCAGTTTGTAACGCAGGCTCACATAAGCCGGCTTAAAAGGACTTCTTAAAACTAAAACATATAAATGCAAAATGTTCCTACCTGTAGTATGATGAGCAGGGGCCGCACGGACTTCCTGTGGCGGTTGATTCGCAATGCTCTGCGTTAAATCTCGTAGCAATTCTTCTTTTTCAGTTTTTCTTGCAAAAGAGAGATCGCTACATTTGCCTTGGTATTTGACAAGTATTTGTGTCAAATCATTGTAAAACTGAAAATTTGATGGAATAAAGCAACTTAATAAGATTGTCATGCTAACAACATATCTGGATAATCGACAGTATGGCTTGAAAATATAACCATTTATTTTTCCGACCCACAAAAATATATGAATGTACTTTTAAAAAAAGCATACAATACAAAGTATAATTGCTCGGGTTTGCTTTCACTGCAACCTGTGTTCCTAAGGAACATGGGATAAAGAAGAGAGTGGATTACAGCTCCCCTACTGCAAATACCAAGTGCCAGTTATTTGTTGAATTGTAACGTATGTAAAAAAAGGGCATTTCGGACAGACATATTATGCTTACAATAACTATTATATCTGTTATTTATTTAATTATTTATTACAACCATATTTAAAGAAATTGTTTGAAATTTTCAACTGAACAGTGAGAAAACAGAGGGCCAAAGGCTTAAGGCCCATTTGAACAGGCCACCCCCTGTCGGCAAAGACTAGTCAACCGCAGAACTGCTACTAGGACTCCCCTCATACACCTGCTGGTGTCCAACAGAAATCGTGAAAACCCATTCTGACAGCTTAGCCCCTCTCTACCTTGGATGTACATAGAACCACCACTGCAACTAAGCCTGGAGGTTAGCTGATATTTAAAGAAAAATATAATACATTCGACAAGATTTCTACAAATTAGACTACTTGCATAGATTAAAACTGCTTTTTCCTGGCCATAAGCAATGTCAGAAACTTTTGGAAACTCCAAGTATCACATCACATGGAGTTGAAAATGCTCACCTTGGTCCCTTCTGTCAGGTTTCCCATGAGTTCCATAAAAGTGTTGTGTCCAGTTGCTAATTGACGCAGCACTTCCTCTCTCTTTTGAGCAGAGTTGTCGGTCTGTTTGGCAGAACTAAACTGTGTATTTGCATCCTAATGGAAGAGATTAAAATTATCTTAGTTAAACAAGTAGTAACCATCAGTGCATAACATTCAGTTAACAAACAGAAACATTGTTTTTTAAAGTTACCAGGTAAGGTATAACAATCTCTTCTAATAATATACATTATCTGTAAACTGTACTCTAGAAATGTCTAGACTCACCTGTATGTTGGAAAGCAGCGACTCCTGACGTCTAGCGCTATCCTGCACTTGTTGAATAAGCGGTCCATAAATACGGTCCAATTCCTGATTAGAGATGACATCCTCGTTGATGGCACCATCTTTGGCCAATGCAGACAAGAAAGCACTACCTACAAAAAAAATTCAAAATAATCTGAAACTTAGATGAAATATTCAGGTGATCCACACTTGAGAAGTTTTAAGTGATCATCTTTTTGACAATGTAGTCATAATGCTTGTTGAAATAAATGCTAGTGTGAAATTTACCACTTATGAATATTGTTGTGAAACATCATTAAATGCATTGCACATATAATACTGCACACTTTAAGCTATAACGTAATCCAAGATAGTATACCCACAAGTGTATTGCAGTTCAGTTCATAAAGCAACTGAATGGTAATAGAAGGTGTGATAGTTTTTCAAAATATTTATATGACATCTTTATATCATATATATCATATTAATGGAGAACTTATTTAACAGTAACTACATTATTACACTATTACATTATATTACATTACATTATTATAACATATTTTATATGAAGTGCTTGCGGTACACCACCACAAATATGGTTTTTGTGTCTCAGAAAAATCAGTTGTACAGCATATCAAAAATTTGTTTTACTCTGGAGCCTGGTTTTAATAACTTTATCAGTTTTTGCGTTATATTTTGTTGTTTTCTCTTTAGATTAAACTTCTTTTTTAACATAAACCAATGCAAAGCTCATAGGCTAACAAATGTAAAGTGTATAATTCTCTTAAATTCCTGACTCACTCATGTTAAATGTTGCACTTTTTAACTCTGATTCCATGACCTCTCGCTCTGTTTTGATTGCATCAACCTGTAGCATGAGCCCTCTCAAAGTCTTCACTGCTGGACTATCTTTCAAAGCTGAAGCTGCGTTAGCTGAAGGTAAAGACTTTGCCAATTCAGCCTAAAAATGGGAGTGGTAAAATATAAAAACATAATTAGACAAATGAATGATTTGCAAAACTTACACCCAATTCAGAGCAAGATAAATGTTACATAAGATGTAACATTTAACAAGCATCCACACTATATTAAACTACATTTGGCTAACATTAGTACAAGTTCTTTTTATAAAGTCCATGAAGGAAACGTACATTATGAGGACCCGTAACACCCAAGTGATATTAAGCATGGAAGAATGGGCCTAGGCCTATTGAGATAGTAAATAATTAGTGACTAAACTAAAGAATTTTTGTTTTAAATACTTCTTTGCATCCTTTCCTTCCATCTCCATCAAATATGTTTCTATTGCTTCTTCAATCTTGAAATGTTGAGGATTGGCAATTGTTTACAGTTTTGATAAATTTACTTTTGAACGCCTTCCACAAGATTCGCTATATCTTGTTTTTATGTTTTGTAATTCCCTGTGCCCCAGATCAAAAATATATTGTAAATGGCTTTCAAAGGGACTTTTCGAAAGGCGAGTTTTCTCAAATTTGCTGCGTGGATACTAAATGTTTGTGTTGTGTGGCAAACTACGTGTTAACGTGGCAGGGGTGATATGGTGGTATTACATTGTATCACTATAACGTTGTAGGAGTATTCTCACCTGTGGCTTTCCTAGTATTTCAATATACATCTTGTTGTTGTTGAACTTCTCTCGGACAATATTATCTGCTTGGATGGCATTGTTGAGAATGGTGTTATATTTAGCAGCTTCACCTCTTAGTGTCTCTGTTAGTTTGGCGGACGGAGTTCGAGTCCATTTTGCAGCAAACTTCTCCTTCATTTGCATATCACTAGCTGCTTCCTCATCAAGCATTTTAAGTGACTGAAATAATTATGAAAATAATCATACACAAAAAGTTTACATCAATACTTTATAAGGTGTGATGCCCTCTTTAGTGTGCATAAGTAAAATGATGGCTATGAACTGACTTAATTTGTTTCCTTTTAATGAATAACAACATATTCGGTAGTACAATAAAATCTCCCCAATTACGAAACTCCTGATTATGAGCTCACTACAAAAACACTTAAAATTGTACTTAAAAGTCTTTAAAAATAATATAAAATGTTACATCAGCTAAGAAAGAAATAATTTAAGGGCAAATAGAAAAATTTATTAGGTTATCACTCCCGCCCGCGTCAAAAATTCGGAAAATATCGATGCGGGAATAAAAAAAAAAAATTTTTTTGCTGCATCAATTATTTCAACATTATAAAAATAACAATGCAATTTTGTCACTTCAAATACAATTTTTAAACCAATTTTTATACAATATTTACTATTACAGACCAAATATAAACAGAGGAACGTTATTGGGAGATGTTACTATATTTGATTTTTCTGCCAATTTAACTGTAGTGTAAATAAACGTAATTCCAACCACCCAACTACGGAACTGAAGATGTATGAATTGCAGGCCAGATATCTAAAAATGTTTACCTTTTTAACAAGTGTCAATTTCAACAATTGTCCATGATAGATCCTAATACTGTAGAACCGGTAATTTTCAAACTACATTTGTTTTCGTGCTATTTGCGAATTTAACAACACGCAAAGATATTAACATCTATGAAAGGCATGCATGCTCTATTATTACCACTGATTTTTACTGGATGTAGGGCATGTCTCACCTCCATGGCCAAATCCAATCTAACAAGTGTTTAGGCTCACCTCATTTATTAATTCTCGGTTCCTTGTAAGCAATTCTGGTAGATTATTCATCATACTTTCTAGGGCTTGTAATCCTCCCTTGGCCTGAACTGCTTGTGATTTCTCTAGAACTGATTGTGGTACCGACTCACCACTAAGATCTTCAATGGAGGCAGGTAAATTTAATGATACCAGAATACTGTGAAGAACAATAATTAAAGTATCAGTAAAGCTGTGAGAAAGTGCACACATGTCAATCTCAAGGTTCTTTATAGAATTCAAACAAAACACAAACAAGTTTTTCTCACAAAAGACTTGGTTGAAGAAGTGTGGACTATAATACTCAGTTGCTTCTTAATTATAAGAATGAAAATAGCAGTCTTTTTGGTATGGCTGGACAAGTTGAATTTGAGTCTGAACCCTGTTTAGATTTTAAACAAGAATTTTCATCTATTACTATAATTATTACCATCACTACCATCATTAATTTAATACTTCGCTTATAACATTCTTTATTATAATCATCATATTTTACCATTTACTGGGCAAAATCACTTAATGTAGTCATACTTACTAAAAACTAACATTACGAAAATGGCAGCTGGTGTACAGGTACACAATAACCTTCACATTCTTTGACTCATACCACATATTAAGACTTAAGTACAAGGTTAAACCTGTTTATTGATATTTTTTGTTGAATACTGCCCTGTATATTTTAGGTCAGCATGGACCATTTGTGAGAACTGAATCAGCATATATGTTATCTATATAAAATATGTTTGTAAATAAATATATCATGAATGCACTTGGTTCACTATTCCTATAAATCATTATCCATTACCTGTCTAGTAACTGATTATTTTCTCGTAACTTGCTAATTTCTCTGTTGATAATTTCACTCTTGCGACTTTCAAATGCGTTCATGGCTTCATGCACGGCCAATGGCACTAATTTTTCAAACAAATCTGTAATTGAAAAGTTTAAAAATAAAAGAGAATTATTGCAGAATGTATAAAATTTGGTGTACTGTGAAAATTCACCATACATTTTAGAATGATAACTTACCAACAGATTTAGAATTCATTGGGGTTGAGATAGCTGTAGACTTTGCAAGTACTGCTGAACCAATGGCTTGAAGTGCTGCAGGTTCCGGAACTACTTCATGGTAGATGAAATCATTGTCCTTCTTCGCTGCAACAAGTGATCTTTGTATTGAGCTCTGCAAGTCTCCAAAGTCAAGTAAAGCTGCGCCTGTAGTTGCCGCAGCATTCAGCAAGGTTGTCGCTTTCTGTTTTTGAGAAATGAAATCACAATCTTAAGATAAATATTCTGTTTCTATCATATTAATTACAGCATGATGCTTGCCTTCCAATCCCAGGGTCCAGACATCATGTTTTATCAGTGTTGCATAGTACACAACCGATATATTAGATATCATAATTTGGCATGGAGTTGCTCCTCCTCTACTGACTACAGATGTGTCAACATTCTCTGTCAACATCAAGTATGCCTCTTTTATTCCTAATGGATTATATCTTTATTATATAAGATGTGGATCACTTGACTTACTTTAAGTCTAGAAATCTCCTGACCAAATTCCTGTTTGCTCTTGCAAACCTTTGCTTGGTACATCTCAGCAAGAGCCTGGAGGTATGACTGCTTAGCTGTCACAGTAACGACCCAATCCTTTGGTAACACAGCCTTCGCATTGGGTTTCTGACAATGCTTCATAGCATCATGGTATAGATCTGATGCTGCGTGTGCGACCTTAGCAACTACAGAGTCTTTCATTTTATCTAAACCAAATATAAATGTTACAATAGATAATTGTCTGGATATTTAATATTCTTATTTAAATATGTAAAAGAATAATTGTTGAATAACATGAATTTCTGATTTACAACCTCTTTGAAGATGTATAATTGTCCCATGCAAAAATACCAAAAAAATTATTAAAATCATTATTGAAATTAAGTTGCTCATTTTGGATTAACATAAAAATGATCAACTTGAATATAGAAATTAGTGTATTTAAGAAATGTATTTTTATTATCATTATCCAGTATAAAAATCAAAGTACACATTTCTTAAATTCAGTAATGTCTATGCTCAAGTCAATAATGTGTAGGTTAGTGCAAAATGAGCAAGTTCATTTTATTGTTTACATTTTGTGTCATTTTCAGGGGACAATACATCTTTAACAATCTTCAAATGTAAATTGTTTATGATTGGGATTGTGAAAGAGAACAGAGAAAAAGAACAAAACAGTTCATGTACATATATCTCAGTGGTTAACAGGATAACCTGGTGTGTGATGCATATTTTTCTAAAGGAGGAAGCTATACATTTTACTGCCATACACCACATCTTGAAATACTCTCCAGCGAGAGAGAGGCTGAGGCTACCCTGCACATGTATGGTTACTGAACGTAACTATTCTTAATCTTGTTTAGTAAAACCAAGAAATGCTTTCTCATGCCCACCTTGTCTAGCCTTTTTTAGGAAGCTCTCCTGTGCCTGCGCTACCATGATTGAAGCAAGAGCCTTAAGAACCTCTGGCTGGAGATCTGGTGTGCTAATCTTGGATTCATATGACCACACCACACTTTCCAAATGGTCAAACAGTCCAGCTGCACTCTGTGAAGTATATACTGCATGTAATTTTTGACACTACCATTTTCATTTAATAAAACATCCATTGGCTTGCTAACAGACATCAGAGATCTTACCATAAAAAGATAGCTACAGTAAGACCAATCAAAAATCTTTTTAAGGATAGCAAAGGAAACAGCTGCAGTTCAAAATTACAAGTGTCTTTGAAACCACTGGTCTTGTGCATTTAAGTTTTCACTATGATTGCAACAGTGCTGAAATTACCATACCAGCAATGATCTTTATATTTTAAATAACACCTTTTTAACAAAGTAGTTCACTGTATTTAATTTTGAATACATAATGTATTATTTGATATTATAATTACCTGGAAATGCTTAGCTGCAGCCTTCAGCCCTGAATCATCATCTAAGCTTTGTAAAGCAGCTATGTTGCTATGCAAAGCAGCCAGGTTAAACAGTACACACACTTTTTCGTATCCAATGGAAACTATGCCTTCAATAAATAAAACAAATTAGATAGCTTGCGCTGTAGTTTTGTGGTAAAGAATCTTGCCTGGCAGTCCTATGGTCCATGGTTTAATTAAACACCAGGATTTTGTATATATGACTAAAATAGCTCCAATTCCCTAGGCCTCATATTGAGACTTATATCCTTTTTATACTAACAACATAAAATGTTACAAAATTTAAAGTTAAGTTGTAACAAGTTTGATCTTCTGAGATATTTTATAAATTTCATTACATAATGAAACCATGCAAAATCTACAGTAGGGTAGGCTTAGGCCTAGTTCAGACTAGGTGGATAAACCTGGCTCAACTCACCGGGTTTATCCACCTGCCAGTCTGAACTAGTTGGCTTCTCAAGCCGGGCTGTGTTCCTATAGTAACTAGGCCTGGCGCGCCACCATGTTTAACTTTTCTAAGCCAGGCTTTAATCGTTGCGGGGGGTTTTGCATTGACTTCGGGTGACAAAATGACCAATCATAATTCAATTACGTACGCTGTGAGCGAGCGTACGTTTCGCGAGCAATGTTTTGAAACACGTTTCCTGGTTACGGTTCATTATTATGCAAATTCTCGCCTGGCTAATCCCGCTAGTCTGAACGTCTGGCAAAGTTATACCAGGCTTAACGTTGAGCCGGGCTTAACTCAAGCCTGGCTTATCTCCAAGTCTGAACGTAGCCTAAGTATGCATAACATATAATGTTCTGGTTATTACAATATGTTACTGGTTGTTACTATTTACAAAATAATGACAGTGTGAAAATGGTATCATCACTCCATCATGTGTACTACTACTAGTATGTGAATGAAACAATTTATGTTACCTTAAATATTATAATAGCAGCACAAACTAAACTGCTTTAACTACATTTGCGTAGGCGCAAATTTTATAATGTCATCCTTCATTGCCTTTAACAAAATTAGATATCAATTAAAGAAATAGATTGAAAAATGTGATGTTGCCTCTTAGGCCGTGTTTCCACTGCACTTATTATCCGATATATTATCAGAAAACGGCCATTTTGTTATTTTTCGCTGCGAAATCTGAGAATCAGATAATTTATTGAAAAAAGCTTCAAATGCGAAAATAAATTTAACCTTTAGCCGATGTCAAGTCACGGCTATGCAAATAATTCTTTTGGGAAGTTAGTTTCTCAGGCAACTTAACTAGGCCTAGTACTGTAGTTAGTAGGCCTGGCCTATAGGGCCTTAGCCCCTGGGCTAATCAAACACTTCATAATAAAAAACTGAGTAAATTTTGCGTGCTTATTATAAAATTCAAAAAGCCTGAAATGGCTGCATTCGATGTCGACAGTGCACTGACTGGCCCTTAGGTCTAGGCTATCCCCTACCTATTATTGTTTATTGTACCCTAAGCACACACAACAAAGTTAGCATTCTTTTTCGCCTTCTTCTCACTTCCTATATAGAAGTACAATGAAACAACTGCAACAGTACATTTCCTAGAGTGAAATAATACCGTATCGATTTCGTTCTTGGCCTAGGCTTATTTATCTCGCACAGGGTCACCTGCTAGGTCTACAAAACGGATGTTTTGGTATTAAACACATTGCTTTGTTGTTCATAATATTGCATGATAGGATGAAATATTTGGAGGGAATTTTAAGATAATTAATTAAGAAATTTAAGTGCTGCGTAAACACGGCCTTATTGAATTTGGCTGCACATATTTATGTTCATGATCAGCCTTCAGAAAAACAACAGCAGTAAAAACATGCAAAATATTCAAAATTTATTGGGATGTGTTAGTTGACAGTACATTATTTTGGGAGGCCAGAGATGGCTGTTAATTGTATTATGTGCTATAGGCTTACTCTGTGTATAAGTACAATGCCAGAATGGCTTTGGACCAAAGACATCTGGAATATAATTTAAGTGGCACTAACTCTGTTTCTTGGCTCCTCCTAAGAGAGATCCTTTGTCAAATGCATCCTGCCAAGTAAATTTGATGACAGCCTGAAAAATACCAAGAAAATAATTCATTATAATTATACCAAGCTTAACTAAAAATCATAAAAATTATGGGTAATAGTAGTAATGTATGTTAAAATACATTAATAATATAGCGAAACACCTAGACTGCAAAAAAATTCAAAACTAACATTTGTGTTTTTTTTCTTTTTTTTTCCTTTATTTTATTTCTTCAATTATCCATTGTTTTTTTAAATTGTGAATATAGTTATGCATCCTACTATTATTATTTCATGTTTCTAATCAAATCCCTCCATCCGAGCTGAGTTCCTAATTGAGAATAATTGAGTTTGAATTTTCATAGCATCTCAGTGCTGAGGGTAGGCCTAGACATAGTGCTACATAGTACATAAGGATAGGTAAGCCTAAGCCTGCAATATGTACAGTATTCATATTTATTACTGTATAATGATTTCTAAATAAATACATGATTATTCATAGTAAAAACAAGTCTTATTATTCTCTTTATAATAATGAAGATATAATTTACTACATTCTAGTTTTATCCTTTGGAATAAAGCCAACAACAAACAAAAAGTGAAACTGTCCATTCCTACAGTGGCTATTAATATTATATTACTGATCATATTGTACAGTAGCTGCCTAAACAAGCTTGCACGGCTTAATTGAAATACATCTCAACTGAAAACGATTTATATTTATGGCTGTTAAGGAGTTTTATGTTTATTGTTTAAACATTTTCTTCCTTGGCTGACGTAACGTTTGATATTATTTTTAAAGATTTTTAAATACTAAGTGTATCTGATAGTGAGGAAAGATCGTTTGAATGATGTCATCGCCACAAATTGTGTACTATAAAAAAAAGAGTTCGTAATTGTTTGGTATGTAATTGGGAGTGTTACTGTATTGATCTACAGAGACATTTTTAAAAATATTCTTTGAGGAAAACTATGATCAAATTGGAGACCCATAACCAGGGAAGATCTGCGGATTAGAAGACTTTCCCACGGAAGCAAAAGTTCCACTTAAATGAAAATAGTGTTTGTTTACATTTTTGTGTAGGCTGTATTTGGTACTCAAAGACATTGTTTCTGTTTTATTTCCATGTGTAATCACGAATGTGTAAACATTTTTCCACAATGTCGCTACTTCCAATTTCATAAAGTAGAAATTTTACCTTAAAAATTTTAAAATATCAGTTTCTCGCATGTAAAATGCCCGGATTAGGAAATGTCGGAAAAACCAAGTGTTTCTGGGACCCCTAGTGTGATCACCTGTGTCCCACCATACACAATGTTCAAAGTGAGTTCTGTTCTTATTTTAAACTGATTACCCTTTAAAGCCCCATTCCCGGCAAAATTTCAGTTTTTAAGAAAAATCTAATTTTTGTATAATGTTATAAAGATTTATAAATATAATACGGAATTGCTAGTTTAAATGAATTTAGACATTCCTAAGAATGAAAAAAATGTAAAATAAGACTGAAATTTGATTTTTTGTGTTCCACACAAAAAATGAATGCGGATGAATTTTTCATGTTGATTTTGCGATAGGTCGTGAGAAGAAATATCGTAGGCGCCGAAAACATTAGCCTATCCAATGCTGATAGGCTAGGCCTAGCCTTACCTCGATTTAGGTTCTGTTATCACACATAAAAACGGCCGACATGATATTTTCCGTTGCTAGTATTGACACTTGTGAATATAATATTTCACAGGAATTATTTCAAATTTGTTAAAAAACTGATTCTGACTGAGATTTTGACACTTAAACAAACATATCTCAACCTAACCGAAC